AGTTTCGTAGTACTTACTACGTGTAGTATAGTACGTATATATATATACTATATATATATATATATATATATATATATATATATATATATATATATATCAAAGATAACAGGACCTAGCTAGGATCCTATGCAAGCCAAAGTTGATTTCAAAAATCTCAGATCTCCATTTTCCAAATATCATCTTACAATCCCTCATGAACGGCATCCATTGCAGAATGCTGGATGTCACTGCCTCGACAATTAACGTTGTGGATGTCTTTGGTCTCGCACGAAGTCTTCTTTTGCTGCTACCTTATCCGTGGGCATTACCCATTCATTTGACATTGCTGTTAGTTTATGTCCTTTCACTTTTCGAGAGTTGTACGGTTTGAGTAATACTACCACTAAACAATCTGTTGTTGTTTTTTATTCATTTGAAATGGCTTAAGACTTCAGAAAAAACTTAAAACACTGACATATAAATGTTTTCAAAACCAGATTATAAATATTAATATAAGTGTATATTTACTAAACAGACATAATAATGTAGGTTAGATATTACAAATAAGCTCACGAAGTTAGTCCTGCTTAATAGTGTGTGGTATTCAGGAACACTAATGTCTGACAGAAAAGGCAAATGTTCAGTGCTGTTATTAAAGCAAAGAATAAATAAAAGGTACGAAATCAAAGGAAAACACCTGAAACAAAGTACCTTATTTAAGCCACAGTATTTATGTTACCAAACTGGCCAGGATTCTATTTCATATGATTATTGTCTGGCTGTTGTGATCGAGGGCAGGAACAAAAGCTACAAACCAAGAGTCAAAATCCGAGAGGGAGAAGAAAAGAAAGAAATATAGAAACACTCAACTTTTATATTCAAGCAAAGCCTTAACGTGGTATACTAGTCGTTAGGTTACATCTTTCAGCCAGTAGTTTGCATACGTTTCTAAGCCATTTTGTGTAGTATCTGTTTGAATAGGCTACCATAACAGAACTATGTACAAACATCCAGTAAACATGAACGTGATTAACTTCTTGCAGAATTAAAGTGGTAGCTTAGAAAAAATACAAGAATAAGTATATATTTATGATAGTTATAGAATGGAAAAATTAGTATCTATTTCAGTTTCTATTACTCTCGGTATTTGACTAAAATTAAATTTAGTTTCAAAGGAATTTAATTTTGTTGGACGGATTATTCGATAAAAATAATTCAAAAGTTCGGTCCACTAACACTGAAAGCATTTTAATTTCTTTGAATACAAGATACGCGGCTTTTCATAACTAACCTCCGATGGCTCAGCGGTAATTCTAAGGGCTTTTTTTCGATAAAATTCGGGTTTCGATACCCGCGATGGGCAGAGCATAAATAGCCCATTGCGTAAATTTGCGCTTAACAACAAACGAACCTTACTTAATAATTCCACTTGCTAATTTTCTCTATTACTGAGTCGCAAACACAGACTCCAGATTTACACAACCGAACTAGATAACTGTCTTACAATAAATTATATAAATAACATACTTATTTACTGGCTACCAAACACACTCAATAATTCACTAACTCATTTAACAATCTCCTCAAGAAGACAAGCCTCACTTTATAAATAAGCTGCTCTTAAGTCTTACCAGAAATTTCACTCGCGTGCTGAACTAAATGTTGTACCTAGTACTCGTTAATCGACTGACAAATTGGCTTTTTTCCTAAATTTCAAACATTATGGCCATTCTTACCACGTTAAATTTTTATCGTAAAACCGCAACACAAATTTTGTGAAACTACACTAAAATTATATACTACAAATGTTTTTGGATGCACAAAGTGAGGAAATACATTTACATTAATAACAAATAATGCCAAACATTGAAAATTACTTGTCCACTCTAGTGTCTGATATTTTTTTAACAATATGGCAAAATTATCGATATCAGTTTCATTATAATCTGATAAATTTAAAATAAGAAAAGCTGTCATTGGTAATTAATCTTTGGAATTATTTCAATATTGTTTTCAGAAACTATCTTTGTAAGTTGTGATAATACCAATTAATTGGAAAAGTCCGTTACATGCCATATTAAACTTTGGGCCAAGGCTAGCTCCGAACATGACAATTGACTAAAAGCAAGATCACGAAAAATATCTTCTTTTTTTTTTAATTTCCAAACGTGTTACGAGAAACTGTAGACATTATACTTAAAGATTCATCATGATTATACTGGTTACTAAACTCAAAAATTTATTTTCCGCTCTCGCTTTGTTCCTCTAGCATCACTATTAAACCTAAAAGTGAATCCGAGGGTGGGGGAAAATATCATACTTCGACAAACTCTGTGGACCCTCGTACTCCTTCAAATCTCTGGAATGTGCCTGTACCTGTTTTAGGGGTTCGAAATAGCTTGTGTAACTGACTAGACGTCTTGTTACTCTCTGATGACATCCAAGTCAATAGATGCACTCAGCTAAAGTTCTGAAAGATGTCACCTCCTTCATAACTGTTGTTGGAGTTCTAGTAGCATTGTTGTAGATCCCAAAACCAGAGTTTATTTACAAGTTTCTTCACACTACATGACTTGATGTTTGGAAAACTGTGGTTTGGCTCATTGTACTGGTTATGAGCAATGCAATAAATGCCTCGAAGTTATAGAAACAAGGTGCATTAAGGCTACACACAATGTTACCAGAGCTGAAGCTAGGACTCTTGCTGTCTCTTTATTAAAATTTCCCTTTTAATCTCACTTCCTATCATCCCAACCCTTCCCTGAAAATTTAGTCACTAAATCAATCAGTGTTTGCTGTTAATTAAAAGCTTTCAATTTCTTTGATTATAATAAGATAATTTCTTGGTCTGCTCTAAAGCCCCTTCATTATGCTGACTTGGCTTCTGAAGATTTTCACTCTTAATGGCAATGTTACTTAACATATTGCATTGGAATTCTGAAAATTTCAGAGCTCAGAAATCCAAATTGTAAAACTTATAGACAGTAAGTTTCATTTAAATTATATTTTTAAATCCTGGCTTCACCTTCTCTCATGTATTTATCTTTATTTATGCAGTTAATGCAATATATGAGGCTCCAAAACTTTTACTGTTCTTAGTGTCTATAACCCATGCGATTAATTTAGTTTAAACAGTCTTGCTTATCTTGTTCCTGATATAATTTGTTGTTCCTTATCAATG